TCTGCACTCTGAATCCACAGTAGGTAGAGCTCTGAATCCACAGTAGGTCTTGGCTCTGAGGCCTGGCACTGAGCATTCTATCCACGTGAGCAGCCCTCCCTCCCAGGCCTCTAGCTGTGCCCCCACACACGATGCACACGGGCTGCTCGCTGACCCCCGTGAGGCCGTGCACTCTCTCACCACACCCTCGCCCAAACTGCTACCTCCGCCAGGCCGACCTACCTACAAAGGAGCAGCTTCTGGGAAATGCCTGCCTCAACCCTCATCTCCCAGAAGCTGTTCTTCGGCACTCAACTTGACTAACTCTCTACCACTGTCCTGTCACCATCTGTTTACACTGCTCTCTCTCTGCAAAACCAAGCACAAGGACCTATGCTTCCTTCCTCCAGAACTCTAGGCCCAGCACAGGCCAGACTGAGGGAAGGTACCAAAAAAGGCTTTCTGAATAAATGAAGCTCCTAAGACACACCTGCCTGGTGTTACCACATTGTCAGCTCAGGTCCGCACCGATCAGCAAGCTCACATGGTGGTTCACAGGAGGACCTAGGGGTTTGCTGCATGTCGGTCAAATGTTCTCTCGCCTGAACCAATTCAGTACACCCAACAGGTGCGTCAACTCGGAGCAAACTCAAAGGGAGCATCATCTCTATGACCTGGGGTGACACTTGGGTCCTGGACATCTCTCAAGCATTCATCAGTTACGGCAGCTCCTGGGCCCTGGCTCCGCCCCCACGGGTCCTCCATGACCGCCAAGTCCTCCCTTCCTCTCTTGGGTCAAATGCCTCCCCTTCCTCCCCACTGAGACTTTTACCAAGTGTATCCTTGCTTTAGGGGCTCCTTTGTCACTGAGCTGACCGACCTCCAAATGTCCACAGGTCTGGACAGAGCCCTGGTATAGAAACCAGGAGGAGACAAAGCCCTCCAGACTCTACCCAAACACTTCTCGGCCTCTGGAGCTGCCCACCTATGTTGACCTTGGCCTACCCTCTGCTTGTTTCTGTGCATCAGTGCAGGGAGGACTGGGGAGCAGCCCTGGCACGAGCTGGCTGAGCTAGCCGGTGTGAAGCATTTTCTGGGGAGCTGTTGTTACCTTTATTTATTTTTTTAACTCCTGTCAGTAGCACCTGGGAGGACCCAGGATGACCAAACTTACCCAGGTATCTGGGTTCAACCACGTAGATGGTGCTATTGGGTAACCTGGAAGCACCCTGCATGCGGATACCTGAATGCTTACTTAAGGAACAAAACACAAGAAGGAGAACAGAGCAACTGGCAGGATTCAGCTCATATGTGTAGGAGAGAGGATGAAAACCCCTTGTGTGAGGACAAGTAGAACAAAGCCATGTTCCAGAATCAGAGGCCACACCACGCTTCCTACACTAGCAAAGGAGGATCTCTGCAAGGGACACTGGAGCCCATACAAACAAGGCTAGGACAGGGACAACCCACACGCTGGTTTGGAAACAGGCTTGCCCAGGACCCTCGGATGGGGCTGCCCGTGCCAGGGAAGGTTCCGGAGGCGAGGAGCGAGGCTCTGCTCCTGCCACCACCTCCCATCCTGGAGCCTCTCCTATGAGTCACCCACAGAGGTGAGCGTTCTACACAGCCGTGTTGCTATTTCGGTTCTTTCCAATTTTCAGACCTTGAGGGAAAACAGGGTTATTTTTAGCCTCGCCAAGCTTTCGGGGAGAAAAATGACTTCCAAACAGCAGATCTCCTGTACAGGACATGCTTATGTACTTGCAGACAGGCCGGGGAAAGGATATTCCTGTGGCTCAGGACCAGGCTGCTCTGTCCCAGCTGCACAGCGGTGACCATCGATGTGTCCTGGTCCAAGACGGCCACGGGCCGGCCCACGTCTCCCTCGGGGCTCGAGATGCTGTTCTGAAGCTGGAGCTCATACTGCTCAGAAGGCATTGACAGCTCTGGCCGCCCAGAAGCAAAAAAAAAACAAAGTGGGGGAGACAAGAGCAAAGACAGGAAACATTAGAAACCCATACGTCCACCCCACCCCAAATCCCTGGACCCGACTATCAGTATGACTGCTTGATTTCTCTTTCTTTCTTCTTTTTTTTTACTTAGTTTCTTCAACACTTTTTTTTAAATTTCACTATAGTTAATATACAGTGTTACAATTTTCTCAACACTTTAAAATTTAACATTATTCTCCATGCCTGTGGACAAAACTGACACTACCCATGAATTTTCAGAAGCAATCAGTTTTTTAATGACTCATAAACTGCTTTTTTTTTTTCATTAAGCACAGCCTCTGACACCAATTGCAGGCTGCTTGCAGAATCCAGGAGCTGAGTGAATTCTGCTGCTACACCGAGGGGCCTGGGGTAGGGCTCACCGGAGCCGTGCAGCCTCTGGGGGGGTGGTCCAAAAAGGCACCAATCCATTGTTTTCCACCAGGTTTGGGGAGTTCAGTCTAGGATCTGCAAAGAATGTTCTCTTTTGCTATCTTGACCATCCATCAAGGTTTCCCTGCTCAGTGTCACGTTGTAGAAGAGAGAGAACTGCTCAATTTGGGATTTGAGGGATGAAAAATGATTTCCCCAGGAAATAAGCAATCCTACAAAACTTGCCGCTTCTGCGTCAGTCTTCCACAGCCTATGTGTAGTGACCACGAACGCTTTTATAAATGGCTACTGCTGACTGCAAAATCGAGATGTGGTGGGACTGTGCCTGCTGCTTTATGGGCCTGCCACCCCATTTTATCCCACAACCACCCTTGACCTGGGTACTGCTGATGCGCACAGCTTCAAGATGGTGGTGCTGTGGAAATCGAGCCAAGAAGCCCACTGGGTCCTCCAGTGGGGAGTGGCGGAGCTGAGATTCAAACCAAAGAGAGCAGGATGAATCATTGAACACTACATCAAAAACTAATGATATACTATAGAGGGGCTAACTGAACATAAAACAAGACAAAAAAACAAAGAGAGCAGGAGCACTTTTACTCAACCCCTCCCGGTCCTGTCTGTCAACTTTCCTACTGAGCAACCTGCTCACAGAGCCTGGGGGCGTGGCCACATCTCTGCCCTCCAGCAAGAGACAGGAGGGAGAACCATAGACTGCACCCTTGCTCCCACCATTCCTCCCCAGATCCCAGCTCAGGGCCTTCCATGGGAGGTGTCCAGGACAAGGGCCAGGAGGAATTTCAGCTAGATCATCCTTAGAATTCCCAAGAATTCCAACGGGAGCTTTAAAAGGAAAGCAACTGGTCCACTTCCTGTCTTAGGGTATCTTCTGTGTGTTCTAATAAGTCCCCAAGAATCTGCCCTAGAGCAGAGGGTTCTCAAAGTGTGGGCCCTGGACCATCAGCGTCACCTGCCAACTCCAAATGACTGCTCCCCCACCCCAGAGCTGCTGAATCAAACTCTGGAGGTGGGCCTGGTTCTCTGAGTTTGAACAGGCCCTCTGGGTGATTCCAGGGCACACTAGAACTGAGAATCCCTTAGCGTATACACAGCCCATCTCCTTGTCCTCTAACTGGGGGAAGCCCAGCCTAGCTGAGCTGAGATTCTTGAGGATTATATTTTCAGAATATGGCAGAAGTGCATCGAGAATCCACGCCATAATAAAATAATGCCATTGCACAATAAAGCAGTATTACTTTATGCTGTTTTATGAAGCACTAGCTTCCTCCTTTATTTAAAGTTCTCCAAATGAATAGACCATTTTGGGAAATGAATATACGGATTCTCAAAAGATCTTGCACAACAACATAATTACAGAATCCTAGGACAATGAAAATAAGGGGTTTGTTTGACTCCTTAAACACCTCTTATAATGCAGAACTCACTACTTGTGAGAAGCACTGAATGCAGAAGGCTTTGCAGATGCTAAGGGTCACTGTCTATCTATAAAAATAGGAAGGCTGTTCTTGGGGCACCAGACCAGCTCATCTACCATCTGCAGAGGATAAAGGGCCATCACCAAGGCTGCCCTTCCATAAGCCAAGAGGCCCACATGCTTCTAGGAGACAGGCTCTGTGACCCTCCTGACCCTGGCTGACCCTCCAGATGTGCTTCTTATTCCCCCCACCACGGGTAGGCTCCAGGGATGACCATGGAGCTCCTGGGGAGGTAGATCTGAGCCCAGGAGGATGGGGAGCTCACTCCCTCACCTCTGGCTCCAGCCCCTGCTCACATAGCCCATAAGAGCTAGTTCTGGGCAGCCATGGCTCAAGGGTGTGCTGGGCTCCAAGTCCCTTTGACACCTGGGTCACCGACACCAGCCTGTGCAGGTGATTCTCCCAGCCTCAGTGCATTTTATCTCTGTTCCTTCCATGATTGCACTCACTCACGTTCTTTTGGACACCAATTCCCTCAGTCAGCATGGCCTCCCCACCTTTTGTTCTGTCTGATAATTTAGTTATTGTGCCAGTCATGTGTTCAAGCAGTACAAATACCAAAGGATTGAGAACTGAGGGGAGAGACCTGCGGCCCTCGCTGGAAACACTGCCCTGCAGGCAGCACATAGCCCCCTATTACAAGCTCCAAGAGCCCCTCCCCTCCCTCCCCACCCCCACTTGTAAGATGTTTGGAGAGTAACCATTGGACTGGCTGCTGGGCTGTGTGCTCCAGGAGGGCAGAAACCCAGGCAGCATATGCAGCCTCTAGCAGACCACGGCACTGAATAGGTGCTCAATAAATGGGCTTACAAGAAAGCGAGCCACCCAATTTAAAGGGAGGCAGACAGAAGGGAAATAAAGATATGGAAGAAAAGAAGAAAAATTACATTTTCAAGGAAGGAAAACTGAAAAAAAAAAGAGAAAGAATAAATTTGGGGTTATAATTATCTGCATGTTAATAAGTCCAGATAACTGGCCTCTAACCTAGAATTCTCTAAGCCAACACAGGATGCCACGCAAGATGGACAGCAGCTGAAATTCATGTCCCTGTCATGCCATCAGTCGTCACTTCCCTGCTAGTCAACTTGTTTAAAAAGACAGTGATGTGAATTATATCTCAATTAAAAAAAAAAAAAACAAGCCTAATCCATCTAAAACAAATGGACAGAGTTTCCATTTGTATGACTAGGTCATGGTGGACCTTGCTGGCTCGGTTCTCAAGGCTTCTGTCTGGAAACCACTCCAGACCTGCATCAACCAGAACCATCAAGTACCCAGCTGTGTTCATTTCTGGAAGAATTTTCCATCTCATTTCCCCATTGATGAAAGGGAGGCAACATTCCTATTTCCTGCCCTGGGCTACCTTTCATGTGTTCCGACGGTTTGACATATATGGTAGGTCAGTGACCCAACCCACAAGTTTTCTGGGTCCCTTGAGATGTGCTGTTCCTCTGGACTATGACATCTGAACTAATTCAGGGTGAACTCTCAAGACCTCTTCATTAAATCACCCGCCATTAACCATGCTGACTGCCCTCCCGGTTGGGGCCCAGCTCTCAGATCTCTGGCCAAGAGCCCCCACCCTGCTTCCTATCCAGAAGGAGCCTATTCTCAGCTTCCATGGTCTGAGGGGCAGAGTGCTCTGCCACACTGTAACTTCTCAACAGATCCATTGCTCCCAGGTGAGGTAGTGTCTTTCAGGACCCCATCTATGGAACAAAACCCAAGTTTCTTGGATACTGAAGCATCTATGTGCTTCTTACACAACACCCTGCATCACAGACAGAATGACCCTCCAACCTGGGGGAGGCAGCTGCCTGAACACGTGTCAAAGCCCTCGGACAGATGGGTGACACTCTTTGACATCTTGTGCTCTGGCCATGAAACATGGATAAACTTTTATTTATTTATTTTTAATGGTTTTATTTATTTATTTGACAGAGAGAGACAGAGCGAGAGAGGGAACACAAGCAGGGGGAGTGGGAGAGGGAGAAGCAGGCTCCCGCGGAGCAGGGAGCCTGATGTGGGGCTCGATCCCAGGACCCTGGCATCATGACCTGAGCCGAAGGCAGACGCTTAACGACTGAGCCACCCAGGTGCCCCATGGATAAACTTTAAAAAAATGATAATAGTAATAATTCTTAAGAGGATTGGTGCTGTATTAAGAACCCTCACCATATAAAATGCATCACAGGTACACAGCACTCTAGAATTTCCAGAACAAATCCACATCCACTAATTAATTTTGCCCTCACAGCATAGGCAGAAAGGCCTCAAGGTATCTGAAGGGGAAAATGAGCCCCAAAGGAGGGGCAGTGGTCGGCCAAGGCTGGATAGCAGTCAGTGGTTGACCAAGGGCAAAGCCCGCTCCAATGTGAAGCTCACAGCTTCTGACATTCTCAAAACAAAGGCGTGGATATACACCCAAAAGGACTGAGAGCAGCATCTTGAAAAGATATTTGCACACCCATGCCCCTAGCAGCATTATTCACAATAGCCAAGAAGCAGAAGTAACCCAAGCGCCCATAGATAGATGAATGGATAAGCACTCAACAAATATGAATATGCGTACACTGGACTATTACTCAGCCTTAAAAAGGAAGGAAATTCTGACACACGCTACAACATGGATGAGCCTTGAGGGCATTATGGCTAAGTGAAATAAGCCAGTCACAAAAGGATAAATACAGTAAGATTCCTCTTATATGAGGTCCCTGGAGGAGTCAAATTCAGAGACAGAAAGTAGGATGGTGGCTGCCAGGGGCTGGGGGGACCAATGGGAGCTGGTGTTTAATGAAAACAGAGTTTCAATTCTGGGAAGGTGAAAAGTCCCAGAGATGGATGGTGGGGATGGTTGCATGACAATATGAATATACTCAATATCACTAAACTGCACACTTAAAAATGGTTCAAATTGTAATTATATTATGTGTATTTTACCACAATAATAAAAATGGTTCAAATTGTAATTATGTGTATTTTACCACAATAATAAAAATGGTTAAAATTGTAATTATATTATGTGTATTTTACCACAATAATAAAAAGCCTCTGCCATGACCACCTCGCTGAGTCAGTGACTCACCTGTGATCTTTCCTTGCCTGATCTTCTGCACCCTATAGCGAATGGAGGTCCCCACCATCAGGTAGACGTCGTAAGCTGGGTTCAGAAGGATGTTCTCCAGAATCAGCAGTCTGACCTCTGCAGGGCGCACGTGCTTGGAAGAAAGAGGGTAGAAAAAGTGAGGTGAGGGAGGGGTGCTTGGCTGGTGCAGTCGGTTAAGTGTCCGACTCTTGATCTCAGCTCAGGCGTTGATCTCAGGATCCTGAGTTCGGGCCCTGTGCTGGGCTCCGCACCCAGCATGGAGCCTACTTATAAAAAATAAGAAGAAAAAGTGAGGTGGGGTGGGAATGGAGAGTGGTGTAGACAAGAGAAAGAGAATCTAGAACTTCTCAGGATGCTTATGTAGGGACAAAGAAGTTAGGGGTAAAAAAACAAGGCAATGCTCAGAGCCCCCCACCTTCAGACCCCCAAAGCCCCGGGGGAACCCTGTGTGTTCACGAGGCACGTGTTCAGTGGCTACTGCTGAACTGTGCTGAGCACATCACTTTACGTTACGCGTGCTATAGCTCAATGTATAATCATAATAGTTACACAGAAAGAAAAGTGAGGAGTGATATCCATGGATACTGTGGCCACCAGGGGCTCGGGGGCTCCACCCACAAAAGCCCAAAGGCCAGGTTGGTTGGAAAGCCACAGGCAAACCTGAAAATGGGAGAGAAACATGTCCCTGATGAGTGCTCAGCCCTTTCCCCCTCCTGCCGCGCCGCGAACTCCTCATCAGGAAAAGGTGCGAGAGACTTGAAATGGGAGAACCACCACCAGTCCAGCGCACCCCTTGGGTTCCCGGAGTCTATGGGGGCCTGCACCTTTCCCTGCCTTTGATCTTTTGGCAACTCTTCAAGTTGGAGAAAACTCAGCAAAGAAAATGATTCTCATCCACAGAGATGCAAATACATTGTCTCAGGTGGAGGTGTGGTCGATTATCATCCCGTGGATATTGACCAGTTCTGCTTCTATTCCTAAATTCTTGGGGTTCTCCTTTGCTCCAGTTATAACATCTTACAGGTTTCCTCACTTAATAGTAAGTTACATAGTATCTCTGATTCATCCAAAGAGACAAAAGCAGCCCTTGGGCCCCGCTCTGCAGTGGGTGCTTTCCAGCAGGGGGCAGGCAGGGAAGCCGCGTATGGACGGGCAGCAGGCAGGACAAGGGCGAATTGCAGCTCAGAGGTGGGGTGGGCTGGGCTGGGCTTGGGCCCAGAATAAAAAGAGACAAGCAGTCTCCAAACATGACCTGCAGGGTGCTACAAGATGAACCCCTACAATATGGCACGTCCTGTGCTTCTAAAACCCTCCAGGACCCCTGGCCTACTGGCTAAACCACTGAAGAGTAAATCAGGAGGTGTTCTTTCATCTGTCACTTTAGAAATTCAATGGCAGATGGAGGACCACACCCTTCTGTGTGAGCTCCAGGAACCAGGCAAACGAAAGGAAGATCTCAGGGTTGTAGTTCAAAGGAGGCAGGGCAGACATGTGCCCACAAGAACCGGGAAAGAACCAGGACCTCTTCTTTCTGCTGTCCTATCCCTCCCCCAATGGGTGCTGATGGAGAAGTAGGTGCTAGTGAGGCCAGGGCGACATGAGGGGGGCGGTGAGCTAAGGAGCCTTAACCCCACAGATGGGACCACCAGTCCCAGGGCTCAAAGTGGGGCCCAGGAAGAAACAGCATGGAGGACACTTGGAAGTCCCCAGTTTTTTCAGAGCTCCAAATGCTTGGATGCATCCCTCCACTGGGACGGAGGGGGGTATTTGTTGAAAATCAGCTGGTTAATGAGCATCCCACTGCTCCTGGACCTCCCTTGAAACTGACAACGGATCAACTACTTTGGAGCTCTGGAGATGGTACACTCTGGTCCCCCAACTACCTCTCTCGAAAGCTGTGGCCCCCAAAACACCAAACCCAACAACAGAAATACAGAATCACACCCTGAAGTTCCCAGTTCATGAACAGTGAAACTTTCACGGTACCACTCCTAAATGTGCGCATGGCTGTGAGCCATGCCAGGAAGCCCCGCTCCTCCCGAGCCCCAGGGCCCCACCTTGTAGACGGCCTCCTGGATGCGCGCCTTGAGCTTGGAGCTGCCAGTCTTCATCCCGGACACCAGGATGGTGTCCCCCTGCTTGGCCACCTTCTCCATCTCAGAGATGTAGGAAGGAGGGATGTACGTGGACTCCAAGAACGTGAGGATTCTGGAAAAGGAATGTGTCATCAGACCTGAATGTGGAAGCAAAGACCCTAATGGATTCACTGTCTGTTGGCACCTCCTAGGAGGGGCCAGACGCTGAAGTAAGTGATGGTGCCCTACTTGGTGCTGCTTAGAAATGTGTCCCTGAAACTTCCTACATCAGAACTGCCCACCTCCTTGTGAAAAACGCAGATTCTTGGGCCCTGGCCCAGGCCTTCATCTGCTTGAAGCCTGGCACTGTGCCTTTTATCAAAATCCGCAGGTGATTAGGGTAAACCCTGCAATATGAGGACCACCTGCTTAGTCAAAATGCTTCTCTCCCAGGTGTGAGAGGTGAGGCCCAAGGAAACTAGGAAGCAGGCCCGAGAGCACAGACCCAGCCAGGGTGGTGCCAGCAATGCCCACCAGGCTCCCAGGACTCCCTGCGACGTCCTACCCACCGCTCAGGGCCAGCTCCTGCCCCTGGAAAATGACGCTCAATGACCCTCCTCCAGTGTCAGGAAGTGGGGATCACACCCATCTTACCGCCCATGGGGCTGGGCTGTGGGGAGAAGCCCCACGTCGGGAGAGAAGTCAGAGGCGGCGACCCCACAGTGTAGGCAGGAAGCAGGGCTGGCTTGAGGGACCCTTTCCACTTCTCTCTTGCAGCCTGTGATTTACAGGGTAGCCCGCCTTCCCACTTTGAACGAGAGCAGTCCACCGGACAGGCTTCCACCCTCCCCAAGGTCCGCCGGCGGCTGTAGTACGCTGTGACTGACTCCCTTGTGTGGCTTTACTACATGTCACATCCTGATATTAATGAAAATCCAGGACACTCTGGTGGCAACATGCCTTAATGCCTTCGATTCTGGTTAACATTCAGCTCACGTACAGAGTTTCTGGAAGCTCAGGAGGCTATCATGACAGGAAACGCACCTGCTCGCACAGACTAGGGCAGGGAACCAGCATTCTCTGAACATCTGGTGTGTGACAGGCCCACAGCGAGGCTCTGAATACTGTGCTGACCCACACAGCTGCCCTCAGAGGTAGCCACAATAATCCCCTCCCGCGGACAGAGGAGGATGCTGATGCCCAGATGGGCTGCATTCCTTGACTGAGGAAGCAGGCAGGAAGTGACCAGGCCAGGCTGGGAATCCAGGTCTCTTTGACTGAACTTCACGAGACACCAGAAAGTCCAGAGCTCATCCAGAAGACAAAGGTTGAGGGTCCCATCCCCCCAAAGACCTTTGACCCAAAAGGGCAACCCAGCTTGCCCATTGTCAGGGTGTGAGGATGTCTGCCATGGAAATAGGCGTGCGCTAAGCTGAGATGTTCCCTAAAGCCCAGAGCTGGACTTGTAAAGGTGTAAATAAAAGACCAGACTTTTAACTCCCCACAAAATACTTACTAATTGCGAGGTGGTAAGACAGTAACTTCATAGTGGGGCATCCGGGCAGACACCATCTAACCCAAGTGATGACAGTGAACGTCATCCGTGACAGACCCACAAAATCATGATAAGATGCAATCAGGAGAATAAAGAAGTTCAGCTCTGCCATCTTCCTGCCAAAGATGCAAAGCTCTGAGTCTAATCAGGAGGGAATATCAGATAATCCTGAAATGAGGGACATTCTACAAAATAATTGGACTATAATCTTCATGAGTATCACGGTCCCAAAAGAAAGAAAGGCCAAAGAACTGTCCTAGGCTGATAGAGACAGGACAACAGACAGCAGGTGACTCTGGCTGGGGTTTGCACTTCATGTGAAGGATATAACTGGAATAGACTGGCAAGGCCTGAATGAGGTCTGATGACTGTAGGCATCAGTGTTCATCTCCTCATTTTGATGATATTGCGGATATGCCAGAAAATGTCCTTAATGGTGGTAAATGCACGTTAAAATAATTAGGGACATCAGGTCGGCTCTCAAATGGTTCAGGGACACCACTTTTTGTACTATACTTGCAACTTTTCTGTAAGCTGAAAATAGCTGCAAAATTTTTTAAAGGGGCACCTGGGTGGCTCAGTTGATTGAGCGTCTGCCTTCAGCTCAGGTCATGATCCCAGGGTCCTGGGATCAAGCCCTGCATCGGGCTCCCTGCTCAGTGGGGAGTCTGCTTCTCCTTCTCCCTCTGCTGCTGCTCCCCCTGCTTGTGCTCTCTCTCTCTGTCAAATAAGTAAATAAAATCTTAAAACATTTTCCTTTTTAAATTAAGTCTTCCTCTGGAGTTAGAGAGCATAATGCTAAGCAAAATAAATCAGAGGAAGACAAACACCATATAATTTCACTCATAAGTGGAATTTAAGAAACAAAATAAGCAAAGAGAAAAGAGAGAGCGAGACAACCCAAGAAAGAGACTCTTAACAATAGAGAACTTGTGGTTAGCAGAGGGGAGGTGAGTGGGGGGATGGGTGAAATAGGTGATGCGGATTAAGGAGGGCACTTGTGATGAGCACTGGGTGATGTATAGAAGTGTTGAATCACTAAATTTTACACCTGAAACTAATATAACATTGTACATTAACTATACTGAAATTAAAATAAAATTTTATAAAGATTATAAGGGAATATTGAAAAAAATTAGATCTTTTTCCCTTAAAAGAGAGTTTAAAATTTGATTTAATAAGGCCTGAGGCAATGCAGGATAGCAGGGGATATGAGCCCAGCCCTTGGGTCTGCACCAGCACTCGTCAACGGGACCTTCTGCTTCACATCTGCTCTGTGCAACGTGTAGTAACCACTAGCCACATAGCTAACAAACACGTGAAACACAGCCAGTACATCTAAGGAACTGGAGTTTTCATTTTATCTCATTTAAACTGAAATAGCCAGGGTTGGGTTGGGTTAGTGGCCACCATATTGGATAGTGAAGATTTATATAGATCTGAGTTCAAATTCTAGCTCCGCCACTTACCAATCTGGTAAGTGGCTTAAACCTTTGTTTCTATGTCTGAAAAATGGCAAAAATGGTGGTACTAGAGCCCACACGGCTTTTGGAGGGATTGAGGGAGTCGAGATGCCTAATAAACCCATGTCCTAAGGAGTCCAGTGCCGGGGAACACAGCCTCTTGCACCTGTGAGGGCTGTCGCTGCTGGAATGTCTTCCTAGCCACAACCTGTCTCCCCTTTAACTCACCCCCAGTGGAGGGCTGCCCTCTGAGGCCACATACAACCTTTCCCAGCACCCCATGACAGTTTCCATTATCTGGGGCAAGGTTTCTCTTCCACAGCTGGGCATGCCAGCCTCCTCGACAACTTCCCACAGAGCACACCCCAGTGGGCTGCGGAAGCAGCAAGGTTCCAGCACAGCTGTGGGAGCCGAAATGCTCTTCCTTCAATCAGTCATGGGGAATGCTGGCCAGCATCCTGGGAACTGCCCTGGGCTCCTTGCTGACGGTGATGATGATGATAAAAGCCCCCAGCCTGCACGGAGCCAACTGACAGCCTCCTTCCTGCTTTCCTGCAAAGGTGAGGTGCCTCTTACCGCAGGGCATTGTGGGAGTCCGAGAACCCATTGGCCTCCGTGTCCTTCATGATCGTCCAGTCAAAGACCAGCCCAGCCAGAGTGCTGAATGTGTTCCCTGCAAGAGCAGATGGGGGGGAACAGAAATGTATCAGAGTTAACTCCTGGGGCTGGGGGGGAGGGGAAAATGCACTCAGCACCACCCCTCTGCAAAGCAGGTGTTAGGCCTCCATTTCAGGAAAGGGAAACTGAGGCTTAAAGGGTTAGGGTCATGTGACCATGAGGGGCTCACCTGGGATGCGAACCCAAACCTGTCTCAGGTGAGCACTTGTGTTCCTCCCACGGTACCTCTGATGGCTCATGACAGGCTCAGCGCAGTGTGTAACACCACCACCCCTCAGGTCTATAAGGACTTCACAGTTCAGGTGAGCTCCCGAGACCTGAGTCATTTGTTCCCCCTTACTCTCCCTCTGCAGGGAAACAAGCTGTGGATGAAGGGCAGCATCTTGTCTCTTCGCCTGGACGCCGAGACTCCCAGGGTCCCAGTGTGGAGGAGATGGCAAGCCAGCCAAGCTGGTCTTAGCTCTGCAGTCCGGCTTGCTGTCCGTGAGCCTTCTGACAGGATGTCAGGATAAGAGAGCCCAACCTGGGACCGGGCAATGATTGTGGAGACAGGACTCCGTAAAGACCTTGTTAGTATAAGTACAAGGTCTGGTTCCCGTCGACACACTACAACGGTGTGGGAGGTGGAAACCGGTGGCTCCGAGGCCTGATCTCCTAGGAGCTGCAGCTTTGCTTTTACCTAAGCAATGCTGCTTTTACATTTTGAATTATTTCCCATCATTTCAAATGAATAAATCCAAATAAAATCCAACTTCCAAGTTCTCTTGAAAAGTCTACAGAGCCGACCTCCTGGATCCTAGTCCCTCTGGGGATCGGTGGCTGGCTCAGCCTTGCAAGAAGGGATCATGGTCTCGGATTTGCCACACTCCCCACTATGCCATGTTGTTTACCCACCCCACCCCTCACCGCCCCATAGTCTTCATCTATATTCCCTGTCTGGCCAGAAACCCAAATAAGAGCATCTGGGGTCTAGAAAAGTTCTTACTACAGTGCAAAGGGCAAGGCATTCAGCGTCAGACGGGCCCCAGGTCCTGCCCCACCCCACCTGTGAGATCTCAGAAGCCAAACGAAACAGTGCTTAGCAAAAGCTGCAGAAAACTGGGCTGCTGTCTTTGCCATTACTTTTAGGGCAACATAGAGTTACTCTGTGACCCAGCAATTCCACTTCTGGGTATACAAGCTAGAGAAATGAAAAACCATGTCCAAAGAATGGCACATGAATATTCACAGCAGCATTATTCACAACAGTCAAAAGGTAGAAGCAACCCAAATGTCCATCAACAAACGAATGGATAAACAAATGCACTCTATCCATACAATGGGATATTATCCGGCCCTAAAAAGGAAGGAAATACTCAATACAACATGAATGAACCTTGAAAACATTATGCCAAGTGAAAGAAGTCAGACTCAAAAGACCATACATGGTATGATTCTATTTATAGAAAATGTCCACAATAGACAAATCTATATACACCAAAAGTAGTGGTTGCCAGGGGCCAGAGAGAGGAAAGAATGGGAAGCAACTGCTCAAGGGTACTGGGTTTCTTTTCTGTAGTGATGAAAATGTTCTAAAATTAGCTAGTGATGATGGCTGTACAACTTTGTGAATATATTAAAAACCACCGAACTATACACTTTAAATGGATGAATTTCATGGTATATGTATCTTTTTTTTAAAGTAACTTAAGACAGGAAATAAAACAGAGTGGTCAAGAGCAGGTGGTCAATAAAGTTTTATTAGAACACAGCCACTATGCACCCCTTAGGACGGCTTTAGAGTAACAGTGGGAGAGCTGGGTAGTTGCAGCAGAGACGGTGTGGCCAGCAAAGTCTAAAACAGTTACTCTCTGGCCCTTCACAGGAAAAGTCTGCTAAGCCCAGGCCAAGAGAGTGGACTCAGGGACCAGGCTGGAGCTACATACTAACTACATGTCTTCCCCCGGCACACACGTGTGTGTGCTCACACTCTGTACCTTGGTCTCATCATCTGGATGTGAAATGAGGTTAGAGCATGCAAAGTGCTCAAAGGAGTGCCTGGCCCCAGCGTGGCCTCAAGCTTGGTCATTTGTTCCCAAGATCGGTGAGTCATCCCCGAAGAGCCCTGTAGAGGAGCTCCTATCATCTCACTGCACAGACCCCTTCCCCAGCTCCCTTTGCTTTAAGCCAAGTGCAAACCTCATGTGGGACATGCAAGACCCTTTACATCCTGCATGCCCCACCCCACCACCCTGCTGCAAGTTTAGTCTCCTCCTGAATAAAATGGCCTTCTGAGGTGGGCAAACACCATCCTCCTCATGGCTTGGTCAAACATCATGTCCCTAAGAAACTGTCCTGACTTCTGTCCCCCACACCCAACTTTCAACCTTCCCTGGGTTGCCTTACATCCGATTTGATGACAAGCAGCACCTACTGAGATGCATGTGGGCCCCCCTACAGCCTGACCTACGAGGGCAGAAGCCAGCCCTTCCTTCCCAGCACCTGGCAGGATGCCCAGCAGGTAGAACGGCTCAGATGCCACGTGGCTCACTGAGACCCGCTCCCGTGCTGCCCAGCACTAAGCCCTGGACACACTTCTCACCAAGTCCTTGCAACCCCCACATAAGCACCACTATCTCAATTTCATAAACCAGAAAACAGTTCAGAGAAGTGAGACAGCTTATCTGATAAATGAATAGACAGGAAGGAGGGACCTGACTGATCCTCTAGAACAGTGATTTTGTCCTCAGGGGACATTGGGCAATGACTGGAGATACTTTTAGTCATCAAAATTTGAGTTCTGGGGCACATGGGTGGCTCAGTTGGTTAAGTGTCTACCTTTGGCTCAGGTCATGATCCCGGGGTCTTGGAATCAAGCCCCACATTGGGCTGTCTGCTCAGCAGGGAACCTGCTTCTCTCTCTCTCCCTCTGCCTGTTGCTCTGCCTACTTGTGTGTGCTCTCTCTCTCTCTCTCTGTCAAATAAATAAAATCTTTAAAAAAAAAACTTGGGGAATTCTACTACCTCTCATGGGTGAAGGCCAGGGATGTTGCTGAGCATCCTACAATGTACTAGACAGACCCCACCACAAATAATTATCCAGCCCCAAGTGTGGATACTACCCTAGGCTGGGAAATTCTAATCTAGAGAATTTATTTTTAAGTAGAGGGAGCTGGAGTGGTCAGGGAAGATTTCAAAGACAAGGTGAGCCAAGGACTGGGCTTAAGTTTTGGGAGAGCCCTCATCTGAAAGACATCTGTTGCCTAACTTACTTTTTCCAACGGGAATCTTAACCTACAAATTTCTCTTTGCTCAGCTTCCGAAGAGGTAAGGCTGCAGCCAAGACAGTCCAAGAACAGATCTTCTAAGAACCCCAGAGCAATCCTATATTGGACTCCAGTGAAGTAAAGTGAATGATGGTGCCCGGGCCAGGACAGGGACGCATCCCAGCGCACGAGCACACGTGCACACGCGCGCCCTGCTGTCTGGACCAGGAAGCCAACCCCAGCCCTCAAAGCCAGGCAAGGAGAACACTCCCACTGTTTCCAGCATGGTGACCCAATAAGCCTCTCCCAGCTTCCCACTGCTGCCAAGACACCGGATGTCAGCTTCCCAAAGATGCGCTTTACCCAGCACGGTCCTGGGCACAGGCACGGAATCGGCCTCCAGGGACTGCCAAATCTCTCATCTCACAGGCCCTGCTGCAGAGGCCAATGAGTGCCAGCCTCCGAGGGCCTGGGGGACACTCAGTGGTCTTGACCTCTTCAGTGTCTCCTCAGCACCGACTCTGCCATCCTGGCTGGAGTCACCCTCCATGGGGGAAGAGCAGGGCTGGACGTGAGGGGACTGAAAAACAGACTGCCAGGGGCCCATTCTCACCTTCAGAGTCCAGAGCCTGGATCTTCAGCTCCAGGGGTGAGTCCTCCAGGTAGAGTTCTCGGGTAGTGGAGACTATCTGAATGCCGTGGATGAGGTCGACGATGGCATCACAGCGCAGGACCTGGCCCGTGGCTGGAGGGATGGGAATGGAAGGGTTAGCACAGAAAGCGGTGCCCTGAGCACCATGCCACCTCCACAGTCTCATGGGTCAGGTGCTCTCGCACTTTGGCAAGGATGAGAGCCACCAACAAGACCATCACCACGAAATGGAGCTGGGACAACCACATTGACCTCAGCAGCCAAGCCGCTGACCAGCACACGGGCCTTCTGAAAGTGAGCACAGACCTGTGCGGAGTAAGGGCTTGGGGGCATTTTCATTGCCCCTCTTGTACTTTGGCAAGGTGAGTAGCTGCATTTAAAGCTGCGTGCAAGAAAACTCCTCAGAGAGAATCTGGTTTTGTGACCATTACGTTAAAAGACAAGGATACATTATGATGAATTAGCATCCAGAAAGATAATGCTGTTCTGAATGCTTGTCGCTACGCTGAAATTAGGAATGGCACCCGGAGTTTGCTTACACTGGTGTTTTTACAGAAGACCATCAACTGTACTGTAGAATGAAAGGGTTGTGTGAGCAAGCACACAGACTTTTTTATTAGCTCCATAAATAAGATACATAAATGGCATTACCCAGGGAATTCTCCAGCGTAAAAATAACAGCACGTGACACAAGATCATCCTGCCCATTCTCCAGGCCCCGCAGAAAACCACTTGTGCACCGTTCATGGTCCCTTGTTAGAAAGCACTACATCAAAAGCCTTAAAAATACTCATATGTAAAACTGGGAATCTATCCTTGGTAGAAAATAACTTAACCCAAAATTGTTCTCTGTACAAATATATTTATTTTTCTATATAACACCAAAACAAACATCTGAAAACAATCTAAATGTTCAATAGAAGGGGATCCTTACAGGACAAGCCCCTGTGAGGAATGGTATTCAGCCCTTACAAATAACCCTATAAAAATGAAAACTTCGTATCATGTTAAATGGAAGAAAGCATGACGGAAAATGACATTAATTGTCTTCTAAGCAGTTTACCACCATATGTTAAATTAAACGTGGGCAGTAAAAGAATTGCAACAACTTTTTTCATTTTGATTCAATACCCATTGAGGAGTTATTTGGGGAACAAATAATTATTTAGAAATGAAAGGCAGCCTCGACGAGAGGGAAAACAGGACACAGAGCTGGCGGGAGGGGCCCGGGTGGGTCCTGCCTGAGCATCCTCTGACCCAACAAGAGACAGAGCACTGCCCAGCACACTGGCGGGCTGTGTGGCCAAGGTCTCAGTGGGGTGTCTCCCGTCTCTTGTCTCCACCAGGGATTCCCACAGGGCACTCAAAGCTCTTACTGATGTCCTCGGCGAAGATGATGCTGGTCAGGCGGGCAGGCTGGGACAGGCGGGCCTGCACCACTGCCTTCTGGGAGCACTGCGCTTCATCCGCACCCAGCGGCTCGATACTGGCCACCTCCGGCCGGGTCGATGACCTGTGGCAAGAAGGTCAGAATTTATTCTCTGGAGCTACCCCAAGAGGCACAGCTGGGCCCCGAAGCCAAAGCTGCAGTTCCCCATTTGGGGCTTTGTCCCAGACTCAAACACAGAATAGAGGTGGGCAGTGTCCAGGATCTTCCCACCCAGGGAGAAATGGGGCTTGGCTGACACCCCGCTCATAAGAGCGTGACCCCCTGAGTGCATGGGACCTCCACACGCACGCTCCCACTGAGCAAATTAGCCAGGAGACCAAACACATGGGAATAACCTCCACGTTCAGCAGATGGTCGCCTTACAAGACTAGTCTGTGGAACTAGGAATAGTTCTCTCTCAGTGGGAAGACTGCCTCCGGTGTTTGGTTCGGAGGAACTGCCATGGATCTCTGCTGACCTCTGGGCCAGGCCTGGCACATAGCAGGCAAACCTGGAGATCACCGACTGTAAAGATAACAACAATCGTAAAGTCCTGGTGGGCCCGGAGCTGGCATTAAGGTAAGGATGGGGAGAAAGGCAGATAATACATAAATAGACCAGTAAAATCTATGAGAAGCCTTCCCATGGAGAGACAGGACTTGACAACAACAGGATGAAGGGAAGGCACGACTGGGGGAGTGACCCAAGGTCAGCGCCATGGTTTCTCACCTATGACACAGGCTGACGACAGTTTCAGGGTCGAGGGGGGATGGGAATGAGTGGGAATGAGCAGAGCGGATACTACGCAGAGAGTGCTGAGTGAGAATGTGCCGTTATAGTTCTCTGCAGGCAGGGTGCTCCGGGGAGCTGCTGGGGGAGACCTCTCAGTGCCTACCACACAGAGATCTGGTGTTTTGGGCAAGGCTCTGAGGTGGGAGCAGCCAGCAGTACTCCGAGGACAGGAGGGATAGTGTGATCTGAGGCCTGGGACTCAGGTCGAGGAGATGGACAGGGGCCGAGGTCAAGGAGATGGGAGGCACTGGCCAGAGCCTGTGTTCTTAACCACCACCCCAAGCTGCTGATGGCTTTTCTTGAGAATTTTGCAAAATTTGGAGTCTACTCATCAGGGAAATGTAAATCAAAAGCACATCTCACACCTCACACCTGTTAGAGTGGCTATGATCAAAAAGATAAGAGATAACAAGTGTTGGCAAGGATATGGGAGAAAGGGAACCCTCCTGCACTGTTGGTGGGAGTGCAAATTGGTGCAGACACTGTGGAAAACAGCATGGAGGTTCCCTCAAAAAAATTAAAAATAGAACTACCATATGATTCATCAATTCCACTTCTGGGAATGTATCCAAAGCAAATGAAATCACTAACTTGAAAAGATATCTGCACCCCCATGTTTACTGCAGCATTATTCACAATAGACACACAAAAGACATGGAAACAACCTAAGTGTCCATCGATGGTCAAATGGATAAAGAAAATGTGTAACACACACACACACACACACACACACACACACACACAGACTGGAATATTACTCAGCCATAAAAAAGAAGGAAATCCTGCCATTTGTGACAACATGGATGGACCTTCAGGGTGTTATGCTCAGTGAAATAAATCAGAGGAAGAAAGACAAATACTGTATGATCTCACTTACGTGTGGACTCTAACGGCAACCAAACTCATAGAAATAGAGAAGAGACTGGTGGCTGCCAGAGGTGGGAGACGGAGGAAATGGGCAAAGGGGATCAAAAGGTACAAACTTCTGGTTATAAACTAAATAAATCCTGGTGATGTAAGGTACAGCATGGTTACTATAGTTAACAGTACTGTACTGCATATTTGAACTTGGCTAAGGAAATAGATCTTAAAAGTTGTCAACATAAGAAAAGAACTGTAACTATGTATAGTGATGGATGGTAACTAGACTTACTGTGATCATTTTGCAATATACACATGTATCAACTCATTATGTTGTACACCTTAAACTAATACTATGTTTTATGTCAATTATAGCTCAGCAAAACTGGAAAAACAAGTCCTTAGAGGAGGTGGCAGGGCTTGAGGTCAAGGAGATGGCAGGAGCTGAGGTCAGGGAGGCACTGGAGGCCACAAGCAAAGAGCTTAGATTATTCTGAGAACAATGACAAGCCACTGGGGGATCTTAAGCAGGTGCACAACCTAATCCGCTGCACATTCTACAGAGCAGAAAACCAGGTGTTGCCCTCAGGGCGCTTACAGTGTAATCCAGGACCCAGAGAAGGGGTGCCCCTGTGCAGAGTGTCCAACACTCATTCCTAGGGGCTGCGCTCAGCACAGTGCCCAGAACACAGCAGGCACTACCCGTCTTTGCTTCCTTCCCAGACCTTCGCTTAAACTCACTGGAACACCATCGATCTGGGGTATTCAGAAAGAAACTTGTAAAAAAAATTAAAAAAAAAAGCCTGGTGCAAAAAGCAATGGTGTGAAACACAGCCAAAAAGACATCTCCAAGTCGTCTTCTGGCTTGTCACCGAGTGCCCCCCCCCGGGGGCCGGGTGGGCACAGCAGCATGGCCACACACACCTAAGGGTGCCGGCGTGGCACACACATCACAGACCCATGCTGAGCAGCCGGTGGCGCGCCCGGACACGGATCAACACCTCCACTGAAAGGACTCAGAACACAAAGCTCACCCAATGTCAAGGAAGGAACCCCAAGCCCCTGAGGAAATGCACTGCGGTCTCCCCACGGAGGGATTTCCTCTGAGAAAAGAGCCTGCCAGCGACGAAAGAAGGACGACAAAGTGGGCAGGAACACACACCCAGGTAAGGAGGTGAGAGGAGGTGCCCGCGGCAATGAGCCTCGCAGCATGCTAGAAACGCACTCCGTTTAGCTGCTAGCAGCTCTGCGACTCTAAGAGTTTTCTCTTTTCCTTTTCTTTTTTTTTAAGATTTTATTTATTTGATAAAGCATGAAAGAGAGAGCACGAGTGGCGGCGGGGGGGATGGGCAGATGGAGAAGCAGGCTCCCCACTGAGCCAGGAGCCCGATGCAGAACTCGATCCCAGGACCCTGGGATCATGACCTGAGCGGAAGGCAGTCGCTTAACTGACTGAGCCACACAGGTGCCCCTCTAAGATAGTTTTCAAAGCCTGTTAAACCACACACACACACACACACGTATACACACACAGAACTGAGTGTGGAAACAAGAAAATTAGAAAACTCACACAGAGCATAAGAGACTAAGGAGACAGGACAAAGAAAGGCAATGTGGGATCCTGGGCAGGATCCAGGAGCAGAAAAAGAACCCCCATGGGAAAACTGCCATGAAGTCTAGATGTTGGTGACTATTCACCAGTGTTAATTTCTTCATTTTGACCAACGTTCCTGGTTGTGTAACATATGAACTTTAGGGGAAGCTGGGTAAAGGGTATAAGGAAATCTCTGTATTATCTTTGCACCTTTTCTGTAAATCTAAAATTATTCCACAATTTAAAATTTAAAAAAAAATGACAAGGGGGAATGGATAAACAGGGAAAGCACAGAGGATTTTTAGGGCATGAAACTATTCTGTATGATATTATGATGGTGACGCAAGTCGTTATATGTTTGTCCAAACCCACAGAATGTATGACACCAAGTATGAGCCATGATGTAAGCTATAGACTTTGGGTGACAATGATGTGTGGATTTGGTTCACTGATTGCAACAAATGTTGACAGTGGGGAATGTGGCAGGGGACATGATATGGGAAATCTCTGTAATTTTGGCTCAATTTCTGTGAAGCTAAAACTGCTCTAAAAAATCTATTGCCCACTTCTCTGTTTGAGAAACAACGTGGTCTATGTCTTGTTCAATGGCCCCTGGTGGCCAGACATCGGGGCTCCCGGTCTGGGCTGAAAATGCCTCCCCAGTCTCTGAATCTCAGCCTCCTCAAGAGTGAAATAGGGGCAGCCACCTCTCCTCCCGTTGCCTGACAGCAACGAGTTAACCTGAGAGAAGAACGGAGTTAGCCCAGGTTAAGCCGGAGAGGCCGGAGAGTCCCTCTCCCGCATCCCCCCACACCACTGAGAGGCCCCGCCAGGCTCAGGACCTGGCTGGAGACACCACACCTCTCACTCCAGGCCAGGTTAAGTCCAGGTGTGGGCCTTAAAGCAGCCCTGTCCAAGAGAAATATGGCAGATCACATTTAGCGGTTTTTAATTGCCTTGTTAACAAAAGGAACAGGTGAAATGAATTTAATAGACTTGTTTAGAGCAGTTTTAGCTTCGTGCAAAATTGAGCGCTAAGTGTACGGAGAGTTCCCATACTCTCTACCCACCCCCCAAACACACACACTGCCTTCCCTGTTGTCAACATGCCTCATGGGAGGGCACATTTGTGACAACTGGAGAACCCACACTGACACATCACTACTGCCCAGAGCCTCCAGTTTACGTGGGGGTTCATTCTCAGGGTTGTACAGTCTGCGTATGAGGACATGTATCCACCATCTATAACCTCACACTGAACAGCTTCACTGCCCTAAAAATCCTGTACTCCACCAATTCATCCCTATTTTTTTAAGTTCCTATTAAAAAGCCATATTAAAGTAATAGGTGAGGGGCGCCCGGGTGGCTCCGTTGGCTAAGCATCTGCCTTTGGCTCAGGTCATGATCCCGGGGTCCTGGGATCGAGCCCCACATCGGGCGTCGGGCTCCCTACTCAGCGGGGATTCTGCTTCTCCCTCTGCCCCTCCCCACCGCTTGTGCTCACTCTCTAATAAATAAATTTAAAAAATAAAAATTAAAAAAATAAAGTAATAGGTGAATTAATTTAACTAAGGATGTAACCCAACATATCCCAGATGCCATCACCTCGACACATGGCCCAGCTGCCCCGCGGGCACTCATCACCACATGAGGAGAGTGGTGAAGGCAGAGGACTGGTCTGCAGATGGACAGTCAGGCAGGCAAACACTGCTCCCAACACACCACTTGTCCTGGGGATATCTTCTTTTTATTTATTTATTTATTTATTTTATTTGAGAGAGAGAGAATGAGAGACAGAGAGCACGAGAGGGAAGAGGGCAGAGGGAGAAGCAGACCC